AGTAATATTAAGCTGAGTCTGTACAATATACTTGAAGTAAGGCTGAATTAAAATGAAAAACACAAGTTGTTATGCAATGACGTGCACATGTCCGGTAGGACCTCTCGATGGGTAGGACAAATTGTTACAACACTAGCAATTCTTAACTTCTTCATTTTTATAGTCAGTGTGTTGCTAGTTGTATTAGCTATTATGCTCTGATACAAACAGGATAAGCTGTTCTGCCACCATCTTGATGCACATTTGTTTGGGTTGCAACCATGACAATGGAGCTCTGATTGATCAGCCTGATTTTTAATGCAAAATTGAACAGGCTCTGATTAAAAAGCTTGCGAAGCCCCTATCATCAGGAGATCAATCCCTGGTGATGCTATAGCCATCCGTGGGTGGGAGGCCAAGTGAGCACAATTGGCCTCACTCTCTGGGTGGGTAGGATGGCCCTCTGTCTACCCCCATCACTCAGCATAATGCTAGGCTGCACAGGCGTCTGTTAGCTGACGTAACGGATCTGGCGGTTGACGCTTTCCTCCGAGCGCAACCGGCTGTCTGATGATGTTGCGTGAGTGGCAGTTTGAAAAGATGTGGTGGTGCTTCACAGGTCTCAGAGGAAACCTGTGCTAGCCTTTGCCCACCTAGTGCTGGTGGTATCGTGTGATTGGGGGAGTCCTAACTAGTGGGTGGAATTGGAAACGACTAACCTGGGGAGAAAATTGAGGAAAAATCCTCCCTAAAAAACGTTTGCGCAGCATTGCAGGCCATCAGTTTCAGACTCGATGTGGAAGACGGCATTAATATTGGTTTGAATGGGCCTTAACCCCTTAAATGGCCAGGGCCCACCAGCAGGCCCAAAGTCTTATTACACACTTCTGTAGTCTAAAAATAGCAGTCAGTTTGCAATGAAGTCCCTACAGTTACTGAATAATACGTCTTAGTGTGTAACAAGCCTGGGATTTTAGGGGTTCAAGGTCAGAAGTTTAGGAAAGAAGACATCAAGCAACTCACAGACGCAACAAAGCTCAACTCTAATTTCAATTCCTCCCGTAAACCTTGCTCTGCTGTGATGTTGCTGATGCAGAGCAAAATAATCAAGCGCCGCTGAATGCAGTATTTATGAGATTTTGATGGAGTTAATAGACAAGGCTTTCTGCAGCGTTGAGCTATTTTTCTCCTAAATGCCAAACTATTTCGCCTGAGCTCAGCAGCCAGCTCCACATATTTTGGCTTGATCGCGCATACCGCTCGATCTTTGGTGGCTTTGTGAGGTGGAAAACCAGCCAAAGTTTCACCTAGTGTAGCCATCAGCAGCTCTCCTGTCTGAGGTAGCTTTTCCGTAGGTGGCCTAGGGGTCATTTTCCACAGCCGTAGAGGGGAGCTTGTGTATTTGGAGGAAAGGTAATGGGCTTTAATGTGCGTCTGGGGCCGGCGACCCCCTCGCCCGCGTGTGTTTTTACAACCTTTCTTTTCAGAGGCGGCCTTTTTCTCACAGAGAGGCTCTCTGGCTTTCTGAAAAGGCTGATTTAGTTTTCTGGCGGTGGTATGGAGAGGGGTCAGATTCAGGTGGAGAGAGGTTTCTCTCTCTCTCTTGCTCGCTCGCTCTCTGTCTCTCTCTCTCACCACAGCTTTGGTGTGTGGCCGCCAAGGAAAGGAAGTGGACAGGAAACGCACGTCACTCCCACAGTCTGAATGTATACAGACTTGGAGCGGAGAGGAGTGAGTGTTTTAGGTTTGTAAAAGGGGGGTTGTTGTGAGGTCGGTGGGCATGTTGCTGATAAATTGATCAACAATAAGCTTTCCTTAGTATATTATGGATATCATTTTTACTTAAAGAACACATTTTTTTATTGTAGAGAAAGCATAATTAGCACTGCTCAACTGAATTTTGTACAGTGCAGTTTATGTAGTGTTAAATAAAAAACAGTATTCATAGCTTTTGATAGCATTTTATGAAATGTGGTGCAAGGGGGCTGTTCCAGCTTATCAGCCGTCAGGAAATATCATGATATATTATGTAGGAAAGTGCATTCTGACTAATCTTGATATTCCAATATCCATAAATGTTTCTGAACGGATATCCAGTCAAAAAAAATAATGTTGGGTTGTAGGCTTACTTTTTTAGGTGACGGCACTGTTGTTACACAAAGAATAGAGGCTCTTTATCAATAAGTAACATTCTTTATCAATAAGAAAACAGCAGAGGGACATCGGTAGGTTTTTCACATTGGTTGAGTAACTGAGGCTGCCTCTTCGGATGAGCTAATGCACTAACAAAGATAACCGGTCTCACGTTAGATGCTGATGAGAACTTGTTGTCTTCTACACAAGGTATTTTCTCCTCAGTGGAAGATGTGCCAACATGTTTTATGTTAGAGAAATATATTTCATTGCTTCTGGACTTGCTAGAATAGCTAGCATAGTTAGCGTTAATGCCCTTAAAAATGCACTCATATTCAGGCTCTCGTGCCTCAAAGTAGTGAAGAATAACATACCATGCTTACTTGCAAATACGAGCTCAGCCGTCAGGATTTTCTGAATTGTTAGTCTGTACATTTGGCACCTCGAAACTGGTTAACCAAGTGCTTGAGTAGCCACGCACATCCCTGATATTGTGTATTTTAGCCATATTCCTTATTTTGGTCATCCCCATTCTGTTCTATATTCTATTTTCTTCCCAGTTCTGTTTCAGCTGAAAACTAAGCACGATTGATTGGCATGATCATATCAAAGAGGAATTCCATTGATTATTTCTGCATAATTTTATTGTCGAGATGTAAACAAAGTCATTCAGAGAGATCTGATGTCAAATGTTTTACTGTAGAGAAACTCATCGACATATATTTTCTTTACAGTGTTGGTAAGAGGAACAATCATGATGTCTACAACACAAATGAAGCCATTTTGAAACCATACAAAACCACCAGTGAGTCTGAGTTTTCATATGTAATGTTGATGATGGTAAAATAATGGCATATCTGAAAAAATATGTTTTCTTTGGGAACTATTTTGGCTTAGAACACCCAGCATCTGCCATTACTGAATAAAAAAAATATAGTTTAAACTGTAAAACCATCAGAAAGCAATGTATCAGGAATCAAGAAGTGTATTTGTAACAATTTTGTGTAATAACGTTCTGTGAGGGAGCTTTGAGAGGCATTAACCTCTTCGGACGTCTGGTTCCCATCAGCACCACTGTGATCAATTTTGACTTATCTGAAATGGATTATTACATATCAAACCACTGAATGACTGTGTTTACATCTTAACTATTAAATTATGCATAATAAAATAAAAATTGGTGGAATTCCCTTTTAAGTTACAGTGATGTGAAACCAATTAAATGTCTATTATACACTATTAATTACTCAATACGAACATACATTTATATACAGGACACATTTACAACATGTTTCCACTGCACAATGTACCAGAACTTTAGGCACCAAAAAACAGGAGTTTTTCCATTTTTTTCTTCGGCCATTGGTCCAGTACTGAAGGTTCCAGTATAATGGTTTTTGTTACCAACTAAAGATGCCCTCTAACGGAACTGGAGGGTGTTCTCATCTGTCTTTGGTCACACTAGCAGCTGAAGCCAATACTTTACTCTTCTAGGTGAAGATAAAGTCACCAAATACTATTATGTGAGCTAGGATGGTATGTAGATGTGTCAATTGCTGTTTTTAGAACTATTACTTTATAAACAGTTTGCTAACGTGACAAAGATAGTTAGGAAGCTAATGCTAATGCTAGTAGCATTAAGGCTAGTGGCCATGGAACAACTATTTTTGTTTAAAATCAATAAGAAATGAATGAATTCATTACGGCATGTGGCAGAGAGCAACTTACAATTTGATCTTTTTTTTAATGCAGGCAGATGAAGGTATTGTTAGGAGTCTTGCCCAAGGACTCTTATTGGTATAGTGTAGAGTGCGTGCCCAAGCAAGGGATTGAACCCCAGTCTACAATGTAGAAGATAGAGGTGTTACCTACTACACTATACCAACCAAATCCTCAACAAATCTAGCGTGAAATAACACACTCACTTTGGCCTGTGTTCTCAAAGCTTCTCAGGAGTAGGAGGGCTCATCCAGGATCCGTTCACGTCAGTAAAGTCAGAGTAAATAAGAGAGAGATCTGATCTTAAATTAGCACTACTCTACTCTGAGAAGCCTCATAATAAGGGTATTATATTTTTAGGTGTTCATTTCAGTGCATAATTAACAAGTTGGCAGTTTATGTTGGACCAATATCGGTATTGGCCGATACTCAAGGTTACAAAATTGGTAGAAGCGAAAGTCGATCTCGAACTTAGTTCGTACTAACTTTTTTGTCCGAAACCTGCCTGCGAACCTGAAGCCTGCCTAGAGCTTTCCTTCTTCCATCTTTGCTCTGGAGACGAAGATTAGTTTTACATCAACCAACATATATATATATATATATTATATATATATATATATATATATATATATATATATATATATATATAAACTAGTTGAAGTGTTTAATCCCGAAGAAGCAAATCCAGGTTATCTTCAGAAACAGCCTTCACTCTGAGGCACGGATCAGAGAGACGGGGTCGTGAGGAGCAAAAGCGGGAAAACGGAGCATGTGCGCTCGTGCTCGGGTCTGATTTGCCGAGGGAGGCGAACGGGGAGGGGGGGAGGAGACTGTGGAAGCCAGGGGCGGGGCGAAGGGGCGTGCTCTCTGTCTCTCCCTGTGTCTCTCTCTCTCTCTCTCTCGCCCATCTTTTCTCTCCCTATCTCTACTTGACGAGAACAGAGGGTTGCCTTTTCTTCAACATGAGGCAGCTGCTGCTGCTCCCAATACCTGTCTCTCTATCCTCCCTCTCTCTCCTTCTCTGTCTGTCTCTCTCTCTCTCTCTCTCTCTGTGGGAGTGACTGACTGAGTGAGTGAGTGAGTGAGCCCGAGGAGTTTCGGAGCGGGACGGCCACGGCGCGGATTAGCCCCCAGGGAGGGGGGCTTTGGGAGGGAGGGAGGGAGGGAGGGAGGGAGGGGGGTAACATCTCAGGGGCAGAAGCTTTCTTTTCTACCCCCCTCAGCAGGAGCAGAGAGCCAGAGAAAGGAAGAAAGAAAGAGCAGTGAAGAGAAGAGGAGAGCAGAGGCAGCGTGCTTTTTTTCCGAAAAGAAAGGAGCTTGGGGTTTTCCTTCTCTCGGTTTTGCTTTGCGCCGCTTCTTCCTTTGGAGGATCGCCGGACGGGAGAGTGGACTTACAGCGGACGGGACTTCCACGACTGTAAGCAGCGTGAGAGAGTGCTGTTTCTGAACTGTTGTCTTCCTCATTCTTCTCTCTTTTTTGCCCTTAATTCTGCCAATAGAAGTGGGGTCCCACTGGCAGCCCTGTCTTTCTCCTTTCTCTATCCTTTCTCTCTCTTCTCTTTCTCTTTTCCTCGCCCTTGCACCTTTCTCTTTTTGCTCTCTCTCTACCAAGCCCCCTGCAACTCTTACTTCCATAGGGAAAAAAAGGAAAGGAAGCTTCCTCTGTAATGTTTGAACAAGCTGGATACTTTCGGATGGAAGAAAGGGGAAAAAAAACCTTGGTAGCTGTGAAGGAGAGAGATCTGGGGAGAGCGCTGGGGCAGGACAGTCTGTGTGTTGGTGGGGTTAAAGAGGTGTTTTCTCAGCTGTTTAAGGTGATGAGATAAGGTGATTAGAGACAGAGCGCAGGGCTAAGGGGGTTTCTCAGTGCATTGCTGTCCTGCTGGGTGTTCTTTCGCCTTTTTTGTCCTCTCTTGCTGGAAGGAGAACTCAGGAAGGGCACTCTGGAATGGGATTTGAAGGCTCCTTGTTGTGCCCTCAGCTTGTGCGTGTCTGCGTGTTTGTAGCTGTGCGTTGCCAACAGTGGAATGTGTTTATGTTAGGCCAGATGGAGCACCAGTAGTTTAGACTCGGAATGGAGGGGGGAGACAGGGGGTGGGGTGTAAGGGTTCATTGAGGCATGTGTGAGGTGAGTTTTGTCTGTGAGAAGTGTGGAAAGGAAGCCTCCTTTTATTGTGATCCCACATTTGTGCTTAGGTTTTCTTTTGAATTACTTTGAGTTTTGATGTCGGTTTAGTTTCACTTCAGTGCATCAGAGGGGAATTCGGAATTCCAGATATTTCGCAAAAGGTCTGCTTCATAAAATAGTTAAGATGAAAAGTCATTTAGAGTTTTGTTTTATGTGAGGTTCTCCATTCTACACTGTTAGAAATAAAGGTACTGTGCAGGTACAGTATCATTCCTTAAGGTACAAACAATGTAAATGTTCCCTCAAAGGTACAACAGTGGTTATAAGGTCTGATTGTGAACCTTAAATAAGTTTTCCCAGGTAAAAAGATCGTATTTGTACCTTTTCATAACCGAATGTTTAAAAACAGAACAATAAAACAAAAAGCCTGGAGACGAGACGGGGTGTGTGGAGTCCATACAACTATATAGAAAATACAATTTCAATGGATTATGGTACAGTTATGTTCCCTGACTAAAGGTACTGAGATGTATCCTTGAGGGTACCACCCCAGTGACAAGAGGGGCACTGCCAGTGACAGTTTAGTACCTTTTTTTCTGAGAGTATACAGAAACTTACAGAGTCAGAGAAGTTCACACTGGTTGTGATTGGAACTAAACATCTTCCTTTAAGCACGAAATGGTTATAAATACGCTACCTGATGCCTTAGACATTGTTTTATGATAGTTTTGAGAGAAGGTTTTGGCCTAAAACTATATTTTTAAAATCTATTTTATTTACGCAGGGTGTTGTAAGGCAAAATACACCCCCCCCAAAAAAAAAAAAACTTTCTACCACTTTTTTTGCCACTATCAACATTCAGTATGAAACAACTATATTACCCCAGTTACTATTACAACCACTTAAAGAACCCTGTAAAGAAATTTAAAAAATCCCATTTAATGGTTTGTAGTTTTTAGTATTATGTCAGGAACTGAGGCTCAGGTTCTAAATTGTAATTCCTTTTGATGAGTTTAAATTAGCACAACAGTAGACCAAGCTCAGGAAGGTTGAGAGCTTTACTCAAAGGCATCACCTTCTGGGCATTTGAAGGTATTTAAACCATCTTACACTGTCCTTCATATGTTGAAAACACAAAAAAGCCACTTGTTTTTAAATCGTTGCTGTGGATATTACAGTTTAAATTATGTCACTTTTCAATTTGATGCAGTTAATCAGGTATCAGTAATCAATCTTAATGTTGTGATTTCATGTTGGCATTGAAAAAATACATTGTTCTATGCCTCACAGCAGCATGTGACTGAGGGCGGCATGTAGTCTTATAAATGTTGCCATGGAAATAGCATTATTGGAGTAAAAGTGGTGTTCATGCCCATGTCAGGGTGATAGTCTTAGCCACTATTTTATCCTAAAAAAAAGAGTTTTATTGTACATGAACTAGGAGTTGGTGAAATATGTAGTATCATGATGCTTGAAGACATTTTCACGATACACAATATGTATCACAATATTTGTTTTTCTGAAGTTTAAGAAGTTGGAACTGGAAAAAAGCCCCAGTAATGTTACATTTTAGTTAAGCAAGACTACTAATGCTGTCTTGGTCAGTGTTCTTTAAGTACCGTGGATATCCATGATATACCTAGAAAAGAGTCTTGTGACATAATTTATCACGATAATGATAAAATATCATCATATTGCACACAAACTGATATGCCTTGTCTTCCCACAACAAGCATTTATCGCCTGTTTTAGAACAATTCAGCATCTGGTTTATTTTGATGCAAAAAACTTGTAACTCTTTCGGAACGTTCCAGTGACCACTGCGGTGCACATCCATCTCTACTGCCGGTGGCAGAATTTTCCATCACTGCTCCGTTCAAAACAATGGAATATCCAGTTTGATGTCGTCTGGCTACTGTCATACTGCAAACACAGCATAAGTCTTAATATTCAGTAATAGTCAGTATTTTATCGATTATTATTTAGCAACTACTGTGCAAAAAGTTTGGAAAGTGAAAATAAGTTCCCACATCCTTTACAGAGAGCGCACAAATACTGTTTGTTTGCTGAATTTAACATATTTGAAAATAAAATGCAACATAATGCGGCCTATGGAAAAGTTATGGCACATTTTGTATTTTATGTGAATATGTTTACGCAAATAAATAGAAAACCTGCACAAAATTATGCTCATGATGCCATATATTTCAGTGTGTTTAAGTGTTTTCTCTGTAGAAGCTGTTAACGTATTTTCACTTACTAAATCAATAGAAGATGTAATTAAACCGAGGCTGTTCAAACTTCTGCAGATGACTATATATTATGCAGTTGTGTGAGAGAGGATTTGAAGTGTGACTCCACATATGGATCCCTCAGGGCTTAATGGGCTAATCAGTGTGTGTATATGTGTGTGTGAGAGAGCGCTGGACTGAAACACACTCTGTTTCAGAAGCCCCTCTGGGACGCTCTAGGCCTCAGCTGTGCAAGGCTGTTTAAAGATGTGCACTAGTGTCTGTCCGGCCCACTCCAGTGTCTCCTTTTTGGAGGGAAGCTACTGAAACGGTGCCAGTGGTGGTTCAGAGCGTGTGTGTGTGCCTTTGTGAAGGATGTGTATGTGTGCTTTGTGGCTTTATTGGACAGGAGGGAGCCTTGCACATCTGCCATGCGAGAGAGAGAGCTGGTGTGCTGCATATGTGTGGTGTGGACTCCTGCAATTGCTGCCTGTGGGTCGGGGGTGGACACTTTGGTCACGCTGATGAATGGCTTCAGGACTGTCAGACTGCAATTGCTGTCTCTCACACATGCTCTTCTCTCTGTGTTGTGCTTTCTTTGGCTAGCTCAGTAGGTGCCAGCCCTGGTCCTGGAATGACCCTGCCCAGCATGTTTTGGTGTTTTCCCTACTCTAACTCTGGGAGTAACGTGTAGGGTTGGAATGTAATTGGGAATATGTATTCAGAATACAGAAATGAAGTGTCTGTGTTCAGTCCATGTCACATTTTGCAAAGGCAGTATTCAGAATAGTTACCTTTCACATGCTTTTTTTATTTGCCCACTAAATTTAAAAAGAATATATGCCATCTTAAAAGAAATGCCATCAATGCTTGTAAATTAACTGCTTTAAAACCACACATGGCATGTAAAGATGTACTCTAAAGAACAAAGAAGTTCCTGCTAAAGACTGAGTAGACTGATAAACCATTGTGATGATCAGTTATTAATCTCAGAGTTACTGAGCTCTGCTAAAGCCTGAGTAGACTGATAAATCAGTGTGATGTTCAGTTATTAATCTCAGTGTTACTGAGCTCTGCTAAAGCCTGAGTAGACTGATAAATCAATGTGATCGGTTATTAATCTCAGTGTTACTGAGCTCTGCTAAAGCCTGAGTAGACTGATAAATCAATGTGATGATCAGGGTTCCTGACTGTTTCAAGTTTAGAAAACCTAACCAATGTTAACCCGTTTTGTGATGATGGTTAACAACTTCCTCTATTAACTGTGCACATCAGAACATGATATTTATGCCGAATAGCCAATTGCATAAAATACTAAGAAGAGTCAGACAGTTTATTTTTAAGGAAAAAGAATACTAAGATATCTTAGCAAGTGAAAACATATTAAATCTATTTAATATAACTAACATTTCTCATTTGCGTTTTTTTTAGAATATAAGGAATATTTCAAAAAAATGACTTGAAAATAGTATAAATGTCTTGAAATACTGGGAATAATCTTATAATATTCTTTTTACAATCTCATAATAGGAAATGCTATATATAATAATGATTTAATAAGTTTCACTTGTGAAAATATATTTTTGCAGTGAATAAGAATTGCCACCACCATTTGAAAGCTGTCTCTGATTAATCAGAAGCTCGACCTTGATTGGTCCAAGGGTTGTTTATGATACGTAACCCTGAACATAACCTGCCCTGAAGCAGGTTGCACATGTAGCATAAGTTGCCATGGTGATGTAGTCTAGTTAATAGTGATCCACCATTGTGAGCACAGAAAATCCAGGGTTGTATTGAGCTAAAGCTAAAGTTAGCTTAAAGAAATCCTGCTTCCCTGATCCAACTGATCTTTGAATTACAAGTCCTTCCTGAGTTGAGGTGGGTGTATCTGATCAGGACAAAAAACTAAACTTAATGTGCTAGGTCATGGGGTGCCCCAGGACCTGGACTGGCGCAGTTTACATCTCCCAAACTCCCGAGTCAAATCAAATATAAATTCCTTGTGTGGCCAAAAGATTTTAGGATGTCTCTGTTAGAATTTGCGGGACGTCTGTGAGC